GTCCTCGCCAGCCGCTTGCCCCACGCTAGCCGGCCGCGTGCCTCCTTCGGCGCTGCGACGCAACATAGGTCGTAGGACCGGGATCCACTATGTGCAGTCGGAAAAAGGCGCGGGGGAAGAAAAAAGGGGGCTCCCCGAACTCCCCGACCTTCAGTGCGCTTGGCTGCTCCTCGCCCTGTGCGCGTCGCCGCAAGCGAACCATGCCTTGCGCGCACCATCCCGCCGACAGAGGTATAGCAGGGTACGCGGCAGCACACGACGCAGCTTTGTGGGAAGCGTTCCTTTCTTGCATCGGAGGAGCTCCGCAGCCCGACGCGCAAGCGGCTTGGCAAATCGCAGGTATTCCGGGCGGGCTGGGACTCCAGTCTGCAGCACGCACCAGCCCCGCCGCGTACTGGGCCGCATGGGCTGCTGCGCTCCCCGTCATCTGCGCCTGCCGCCCCCGTTTCGCGGCCAGTTGTGCCGCGGAACTGGAAGGGTTGCCCGCAGGAACGCAAGCCTTCAACAAGCTTCCGATGCGCGCACCCTGCTGCTCACGGAGGGTTGCGCGGCCTGTCCCACTTGGGCACATGCAGCCAAACGAAGGCTTTTCCAGACCGGGGATTATAGGGGACTGGCCCCACGCATGGCAAGACCACGCGACGCGGACATTACTTTCGCGACCGCGTGCTGTTCCCGACCAGACCACAGGCCGGGGCTTGGCTGACCGCCATTCCCTCGGACGAAGCCAACGTCCTCGCCCCCGAGACCATGCAGAACGCATTGCCTCGCCTCCAACACCTGCGGCGGCGACGCACCAGGATGCGGCCTCCGTGGGGCTGCTCGCGCGCCGGGCCAAGATATGCCAAGATCGGTCCCCAGCGCCTTGTCGTACTCGGCTCGGAAGTTGGGGGCTGCTTGGGCACGGGAGCCTTGGCTCTCGTTCGCGACCTCGTTCGCCTCCGCCGGTTGCGCGCCCCTCCTGCTCTGCGCAAAGCCGTGGCCACCGCTTGGGCTCGACGTTGGTGGACTCAGCTGTCGGTTGCTGTTCAGCGCGCGACAGCCCTGTCGGCAGCCCCGGCAGACGCTCCGGCACTCGAGCTGGTGTTGGACCTCGCTGATGCGGCGGGGCCCAGCACATTGCTGCTTCGGCCGGCCCGCGAGCCGGTGAGTAGGTAGGCTGACTTGTTGTCTGGAAGACTAAGGACTACTCTTCTCGGCGGAAGCAAAAAGGTGTGGGGCGGGGAAAAAAAAGGCGGGGCTCCAATCGCGGTGGATGCCCCAGCCGTGAGCCCAGTCCGCCGGGACGACCAGCCCCGCGCACGGGCTGACCATCAACCGGGCCTCGCCCTGGACCAGGCTCTGCAACATGAGCTCTCTCTTATGTCCTGTTTTTCAAACCGTGTTCTGTTCCAGTGTAGTCACTGGCTGTTTCGTTGATGGGGTAAGTCCTTCTCCTTCGATCCGGCCGGAACCCTTTCCAAAACGCGGCTGGCTTTTTGAAGGCCCGAAAGTGCCCGCAACGTCCATGCAAAATCTTTTGGGCCATAGTGCGGCCTGGCAGGGTCGGAGTTTGCAAGCGCGAGCTCGCTAGATTCCGCCAGAATGGCGCTATGCCGGAGACTCGGTCGGTTCCATCTTTTCTAGCTAATCCTGGATTCGGTGAACTGCCGATCCATTCTTTGAAGTGTTGCATTGTGGCAGCACGGCCCTCGTGTGCTTAATAGTGCCACGGCTGCTTGTGGTTCACGAGGTGAGTGCATGAGTCAGTGTGAATGAGTGCCACAGCGCTCCTCACACGCATCCCGGCAGTGGAGGACTTTTCGGCCGCCTGGCTCCTGTTGCGCTTCTGCGCCTGCCTTCGGGCTAACTACCTCCGTTTCCTGCCGCCAGCCGCCAGCCGCCGTTCTGTGTTTGCGACCGCGCGCGCTGGAGCAGTTCACACGTGCCTGCCTGCCCTGCTCGGCTTGCCCTGCTGCAGCGCGGGGGGCTGGGCCTCAGGGAGGCTTCGCTCGACAGCCACGCCACTTATTGGGCTTCCTGGTTTCACACCGCTGTGCTCCGCCCCACGCGGCGGCGCGGTTCCTCGTCTAGTTCGCTGACCCCGAGGCCGCGGCCCAGGCAGCAACGCATTATCACTGGCAAATGCAAGCAGCCCCAAGACTACTCCATTCTCATCGACAGTTCTGGCACGTCGCAATTGATGGTGGGAAGCTTGTAAAGATGTTAAATCAACTGCATTGCGCCGCGGCACGGAGTGTCATGCAGGGGTGCAAGCAACACTGCGCAAACGCAGCTGGCGGCAAGCGCTCTGGTTGCAAGTCTCCGTTTCCTGGTGCACGTGCTACTCGTAAGTGAGGTTCGCAGCAAAGCATGGAGCACATATTTACCGAACAGAGTGTAGTGGATTGAGCTGGTTGCTCGGATAAGGACGTCCACGGTACTTTGCATATGGTTTGGGCGGCGCTTTGGCGCTTGGCTGTCTGGACGAAGGATTTCGTCGCTGCATAGAATTTTGGGTAGCAGCCTGAGATTATACGTTTTTGATGTGCCGCTGTGTAGACTTTTGTAGAAATGCTCTTGCAGGTCGTCGTATTTCCTCTTTGGCACCTAGCCGTTCATTGGTTGCCATGTTACTGCATCATTGTGCCGCATCTTGGCAATCAAGCGCTTTCGCATGCCAACAAAGGTGTCATTATTTTTGGGTCGACAAGGCGCGCCACGGCATTTCACGCTTAGCTTGACACTTCCGATAGGTTGTTCGGATGTTAAAGGAATGTCCTGTGCAAGGTGTCGCATCGCAAAGGGGGACCCAAAGGTGATGAGCAGCGAGATGCTGAATTCAGCGTCCTGCCCGCAACAGTATTTATGATCCTTTGCCATGTTTGTGCAGTCATCATAGCGATGTCGATGCAAACGCGCTTAGGCAAGTTGCATGCCCGTGGCTTCCCTGCAGTTCATCAGTAGTATCACAAAATGATTCATTGCAACAGGGTTCGGCCGCTGTGTCACAACCTTCAATGCTGGCTGTCAGGATACTCCCCCATAATCCGTCGAGCTACGTTGTGCCTTGCCGTGAATTTCAGCATCCGTCTTGCCAGTAAACCCTTGCGGAGATTGGAGCACAATCGCCGGAATCGCAGGTTTTGGTTCCTGTGCAAGGTACATGCGTGGCTTCTATCTCAAGGCGGCGCAGTTGGTGTCCACGCGGGATGACTTTTTGTGGCGCACCTTGAAGTTCGTGCAGTTTGCTGCCGGTGGTGCTCCGTGCGCATGCCGCTTAGGCCCGAAATCTATTTGGAATGGTTGAGAAAGTTGCAGGACGAGGCATGGGGAAGAGGTTGGAAACCTGGTTCCTGCTGGTTTTGGTTTCGGTTTGCAGGTCCCGATGACCCTGTCTTCAGAAGAGGCAAAGCAGGTCATCACGAAGGATGCCTTTGCTTTATGAGGGGTCTTGACGTTGGACTTCCTTCCTGCAGTGCCGTGCCCCTGTCGTGGCAGGAGCTTAAGATCGCTGGTATCGAGGATTTGCTAAGCGATTGGCAAGATGAGCCGATTGGCACTGCATCCATCGGTCAGGTCTACAAGGCCTTGACCAGCACTTTCAAGTTGGGAAGCCAGGAGTTGAGAAGTTGAGCCAAATGTGCAGAAGCTGTTGCCCTTCAGGCCCGTTTAAAGTCCACGGGTGAGGAGGTCGCGATTAAGGTCCAAGTGCCGAAGGCTGAAAGGATGTTCCGTGCCGGGCTTCGGTCTTTCTCACGGCTCAAAAGTTGGACTCCGATTCTGAACCCTCGCTTGCTTAAGGTGCAGACATTTCGTGTTTAAAGATGTGCAGCACTTGGTGCCGGACGAGTCTAAGTTCACTTCCTGCACTTGTCTCTGAGTTTGACAGGTTCACTTACATGGCTATACCTTGGGCCTACGATGCTTGACTGGAGCATGTTCGAATCATGCAGTGTCTGCGTGGGAGGCCGTCACACTTTCCGTACTGGTACCATGTTTAAGGAAAATATGAAAGAGATAGAGAAACTTTTCGAGACGGAGTTTGACTACACGGAGGAGTTCCGCAGCATGGCTTTTCTTTGGCATGCAGGTTTCTCTGGTTCCAAGACACTGCAGACACAGATTACCCACCTGCCACAATGGTAGCTGATTTTGAACCGCTGTAGAGCTCTGGAAGCCGAAGCCGAGCTACCGGCAGGAGCCAGTGGCGCCAGGAGCATGTTCAATCAAACCGAAACTCCGCCAGAGGTGGATATAGTTTAATTTCGATTATGATGTGAACTTTGTTGTCTTCGGCAAGGTGTCTCGTAGGCGCAGTGCGGGCCAAGACTGGAGGAGTGTTGTTTTCCCAGAGTTTGAACAGTTTTAATTTCCCCTTGCTTGCTGTTGCGTTTCATGCGCTGCGACGGTCCTGCCAATCTGCAGTCACATACCCAGCTTAACACGTGTTAAACGGATTGTTGCAGATCAACGGTTAAGCCACTCTTCCGGCCAAGGCAACTTGGAAGCCATGCGGTCAAATCTGCTCCCCAATTGGGGCCACAGAATATACATCCCGAGGCACATGAACTTTTCATCACTTCCAGGGCCATTTGCTTGGAGAGCTGCAGGCCAATTCCAGAGCTTTGCTCCCGGCATGTTTTGGGAATGGAACTTCTGAAGGGAGAGAAGTGCTTCAATCGCACAAAGTGTGGAGCATCCTTCCATGAGAGTCGCACCGTTTACCTGGCATGATCTCAGGTTCATCACGGCCGTGCGAAGGCGGCTGCAACCTTTAGCCGAACAAAGAGGCATAACGGTCGAGGAGTACGAGCAGGATGCGATGCCTTGCTTGCATTGGCTGATGACGCAAGTGCTGCTTTGACCCCTTCTTTGCTGCGCACAGGAGCAGCTAGAAGCGTTGCGCAGCGGGAAGCGAAAAGCAGAAAGTGCGACTTGGCAAGATCACGGCATAATTTTCCTGGAATATGTTGCAATATCAAGCGTTTGGCGATCAGTGTCGCCCTGAGGCAGCGTGGCTTCATTGGAAGATGACTCTATGGAAGTTCTGGCGAAGGTTGTGCGGGTTCAAATCAGACCTGGAACCCATCGATGCTGCTGCACTGAATTTGTCCACAGCAGCATGGCTCAGAACTCATGCCAGAAAGGCAAAGGCTAGACTTGGACTTCATCACTAAGGTTGGAGGTATTTTCGAGATGCTGATGTCAATCCACGGCCAACAAGTGCTGAAGGAAGCCATTCTGCATGGCTGACGACACAAGAGACCGTCTTTCAAACTGTTGAAACGGTGCTCCGGTGCTTTCAGGATGGATGTTTCAATGCAGATCCGCACCCTGGGAACATATTGATGTTGGAGGACGGCAAAACGCTCGGCCTCATAGACTTTGGACAGGTGATGTACGTGCCCGTGGAGCCTGGTCCAACAAGTTTCGCAGTGTTTTGTGTGTAGCTGTTCCATCTTCAGAATTCAGCTTGTCTTTCCAAGGAGTTCCGTCTCAAACTTGCGCGACTCATGCTCGCGTTGTCACGACGTAGCCCACCCGATGTGGCTCGGTGTGAAAGCAGCTCGACGGCACTTTGTGTGGTGCTTGCCGCTCGAGCTATTCCTACAGTGCCAGAGATGCCGAGCCAGGTGAAATGGGTGCCGCTTGGCTGAACGTTGCTGTGCGATTCCGGTGAAGAGAACTCATGAGCCGCCCAAGAGCTTGCATCCACCTCATGTCAACTGATGTCAGGTAACTCGCAAGTATTACAAGGAAGATGTGCAGTATCGCATTTGCTCCTTCTGGCTCGACAGAGATGATGAGGACTGCGGGCTGTTCCATCATGTCGTCTTCGCAGCTGCGGCACGTCGCATCTTGGTTGGATATGCGCAGGAAATTACTCAGGGCCGCAACATCTTTGATTTGATGGTGTGGGGAGAGGCCGAGGAGCGCAGCAGATCCACAAACACACGCACGCCCAGCTCTAGGTTTGAGCATGATCCTGCATTGAGTGTTTTCTCATGAGATTGCGGAGCCTCGTGCTGGAACTGAATCTGGCTTCAAAAGCCTCGAAGCTGCTTGAATGCCGTTTTTCTGCAGCTTTCGGCCCGGTTGAATCGACCGTTCCCAATGTCGTCCTTCCACGAGTTGCTGAGCCAGCTGCAAGTCAGGCCTGGACTTGGATGAACACTCTGTTTGTCATGGTCTCCTACTGTAGCACACAGGCTTACCTGCTAGCTGAAAAGCAGGCTTCGTGTGTACACCTGTCCTTCAGGTACGAGTCGGACGTTGCAAGCCTGACGGCCCAATGCCATCGCCTTCTTCGCGAGAATGTTGAGCTGCGGGAGGCGTGCGGTACCTGTAAAGGGTTTCTGGTTTGGGGATGTTGTTTGGTGTAGTATAGGGCTGATTAGTATTGCTTTTGTTTGCAGACGGTTAGCATAATGACTACGTAATGACTTTCTTTTTAATTCTTCTCTCTCTCTCTCTCTGTCTCTCTCTGTCTTTCTCTCTCGCTCTCTCTCTACCTCTCTCTCTTTCCCTTTCGCTTTCTCCAAGCACGACGGCTCGAATCCAGCGACGTCAGACTTCGGTCCACTGATGTTTGACCTGCTAGGTTTTTTCCGGGGCGGGGTGGGCAGGATTTCCAAGCGATGTGAGTTCACCTGACAGCCCTAGCTGGCCACACCAAAATTAGCCGCGAATGGGAGAAGCACATGTTCTCCGAAGCCAAAGTCAAAAGTCTCTCTTTCTCTCTCCCTTCTCTGCCTGTTCCCCAGGAGCAGGAGCCTGAAGTTCCGTCGGAAGTTGCCGTGGATGCAACAGCAGAAGCGGAGCTGGCTCCTGTATCCAACCACAGGTGACGAGTCGCACAATTTTGTCCGAATGTGTGGGCTTGTGATGCATGTGCACATGACGAGGACGGCTCAGCCCTCCATGTTCTCGCAGTCCGGGATCACCGGAACAATGCAGTTTCCGTCGAAGAAGCCGAGGGCGCTTCCAAAAACGATGCTAGACTGCAGAGCTAGAAGATACATTACGTGGTCTTGATTGCCTTGATTGTCCAAAAAAGAATGTTGAGATGGTATGTAGATGTTCGGAGAGTTCAGCGCAACTGAAGAGTCATAGCCAGCAGTTCTCCTTTCAAGGCACAGCGCGAGGCTGGATGGCAGTCGCATTGTGCGCGAGATCACCAAGTCGTTGGAATGGTGGTCGTCATTGGAAGAGCCAAAACGCAGTGGTTTCGTCTACAAGCTTGTGGAGTCGAGAAGCTTCTGGTGCTCTGAGTCTGCTTAAGTGAGTGCTCGTATCATATTCTGAAGGCGCTTTGCTCAGAGGGGTTTAGGGCAGTTCAGCTCCCCGCCGTTTCCGTGAGGTGTCTTTCGATCTTTGTGATCTTGGTCAATGCATTTTCCATCACACGCTTGATCGACCCTTGGCTATTCTCGTCTTGCGGACTGGCTGACAGAGCGTTGAAGTGCTTCATACTGTGATCGCTAGTTTGTGACAGGATATATCGTTGGCAGAGGATGCCGGAGGCGTTTTCCTTCCTGCTGTTCATGCCCTTGCAGCTTGAAGGAGTCTTTCTGTGTGTTTGTGAGGCCCAGGTGCACTTCTCAGTGTGGAGCTATTCTGCCTGGTTCCTCGTGGCAAGTAGAGTTGGACTGTCGGGGTTTGTCCTGGAGCTGCCGCCATTCCAGATTGTTTTGGGTGACCTGAAATCGCCCAGACGTTCTACATCGTGGAGCTTGTGCTTCGCTTGTTGGTGCATCGGCTCTACTTCTTCATAAATGACAACTTAGCTTGGAAACTTGTCGTGTGAAATGCCTCTTTCAATATGTAAGTTTTGATGTGGGTTGTAGAAACTCACGGTTAATGTGGGTTGTCAAAGCCTATCCTTCTGGGTTCTGCCGCCTCAGACAAGGAACTGGCTTGATCTTCTGCTGGTGGCTTTCAGCATCATCGAAATCATAGTTATTTGGCGGACTGACGGTCAATCTGGCACAATCCTGTACATGCAGCTTGTCGAATATGGTGGCCGGGCCTAACACGACGTGGGGCTCATGTTGCCAGTGTAGTGAGCATTCGGAAAGCTTTTCCGCTTGCCAGGAGGACTCTCCGAATTTGCAAGGTCTCCAAAGCAGTTCGCATCTTCCGCGTTTTGACGGCTTTCCGCGAACCTTGGATTGCACATATGGGCTTGGTGTACAGGACTTCCGCACAGAATCGGTAGGGTGGTTCGGTTCAGCTTGAAACGGAGACATGCTTGTCCGTGAGGAGTTGGCAGGTCTTCTGGAAAATCTTCGCTCAAGCCTGATGGCGATGTTTTGGAGCTTAGCTTTGCTGAGCTTCCTCCTTTTTCTCAGTGCCTCGTGTCAATATAGAACGTTGCCTAGCATCAGGAGTGCTACATGCTCACTTTTTTCTGCCTTGGTGAGGTGCCCTTATCTTCGCCCAGGGAGTAGCTGATGGTCTCAGCGATGCAGTGTTCCCGGCCTCAGATGCCAAACAGCTTGGCTTCGACTCTGTCGGGGACACCATGGTATTGCTCTACATGAGTGTTACAGGAGGCACTGACTGGCATTTGTACTACGACTTGCTGAAGATGCTGGACAGTTTCTATCACTGGCTGTATTTGGGCTTCATCTTCTTCTTCACCTTTGCGTTGTTTAACATCTTAACCGCAACTTTTGTAGAGAAAGCAGTGGATGCATCGCGGCCTGACCGTCAGCAGCAGATGGTCCTGGAACGGAGGAAGTTTGCTGAGCAGGCTGCTGAGCTGCGTGAGCTATTCTCAAAAATGGACAGGGACAACAACGGCCGCATCACGAAAGACGAATTTGATGAGTGCCTGGAAGATGGAGAAGTACTATCGCACATGCTGAGTGTGGGCCTCGATGTCTATGATGCGCATTACTTGTTTGAGCTAGTAGCTGATCAGACAGGTCAGCTCGAAATCTCTCGCTTTGTGGATGGATGCATGGCAGTGAAAGGGTCAGCCTCGGCTCTCGACATCCAGAAGCAGATGGTTCTTATAGGGCAGCTGGAAAGCAGGCTCGATTCATGGGAGAAGGACTACTGGCCGCCAATGATGAGTTTCGCCGCTGGAGTTCACCTGAAGCTTTGACTACTGCCCCGGCCAAAGTAGTTGTGATTTTGTGAAGCTGCAGAAACCATCGCCGATTGATTCTCGCCACCACGCCGTGCATTTTGCGCGTCACACAGAGGACGGAGTCCAAATCTGAGGCCAGTCGCAGAAGCGCTTGTGCCGCAGTGGACCTTTGCTAGATAGAGCCTTTCTCACACTACCCTGGGCCTTCCGATCGGAACCCAGGCACCTCATAGAGTCACATGCAGCCTTCAACCCCGCAGTACAAATGCCTTAAATGTGTACCATGCATGTTTCCTTGCTCATGAGCGATTGTTTTCGCTACATCATCCAGTAGAGCCGTCTGGCCGTTGCGTGTTGCGCAATCTTGACGGCTTCCTGCCTGATGTTTTCGTTAGCTTGCGTCCAGTGCATGTAACTGGGAACGACGACCTTCGCCTAGCAATATCGGCCGCTGTGGCTCAAGGCCAAGGTGGATCAACCCTTGCTGTGCCGAAGATGTCGCAGAGCATCTCCTCTTGGGCTCCTGGTCGCTCACGCAATGAGCCGGTGAGCTTCGCACAGTTGCTTGAGCAAGTGGCATCTAGGTGGGGGCCAACAACTCGCTTCGAGGGACAGTGCTGCCATCAATGGCTTTTGCAGCTGCGAAATCTGCCAGGCATGAGACTGAAATTGCAGAGCTTTCCGGTGGCTTGGGTGGAAACTGAGTAGTTTGGTGGGTACAGTAAGCTGTCGGCCGTCAAAGTCCGCAAAAGATGCATGTTCTGCCATTGGCATGCTGCAGCATCCCGAATCAACCTAACTGCCATGATCAGACAGCAGTCGCACTCAAAAGCGCTTGGGGCCGATGCAGGAGAGGGGGCCATAGGGGACCTTGACCAAACGCGTGACGCCTCCTCAGGCCAGTGCTCGGCTCTGGAGATGGAAGTCCGAAGGCTGTCTTCTCAGGCCCATGCTCTCGGCGGCTTTTTTAGAGGGGGTTCGTCATAACATGCATTTAGTGCACCTTGAAAGTAGAAAGGGCCAAGAGCCAGCATCAAGACTGCGCCCACAGTGTTCAGGCGCACCCGTCTCATTCGACGCTGTCAGAACCCTGTGTGGGCCTCTGTGACTGACATGGGCTGAGGATGTCAAAGGGTGTGATTGAGAAGCCTTTGCCGCGAATCGGATAACCTGCGTGGTCGCAGGTTCGGCGCCGGCCGCGCAAGAGCTTGAGATCTTCAGTGAGAGGGAAGAGGAGAAGGTTCCCTGGGCTGGGTTTGGTTTCAAGCTGGGCCAGCCTTCGCGAGAAGCTGGGATCAGGAGACGGTTGCTCCGAGCCAGACGAAGTTGATCAACTTCTCAGCATTGTGGGGGCATGTTGAATCCATCAAGACACTCGCATCAAAGTTAGATGCAGCTAAGCTGGGGAACGGGCAGCTCATGTAGAGCGAGCTGTTGCCTGCAGCTCAGGCCTGATCTGCGCAGGCAGACAAGCAGTGGCCTGGGCCTGAAGCGTGTCTGGCAGGAAGGTGCGCCTCGAATGAATCTGCTGTCCACTGCGCACCTTGGCCGCTGTTCATACCTCATACCTCTTGACCTGTCGCTACAACTCGCTTCGTGTGAGAATCAGCTCTGATGTGCTTAGACATCGAATCGAGGAGCGGAGCCATTGGGGATCACGTGAACAACCGCTGTGTTGCCTGGATTCTTGAAATAGTGGACTGGTGGCACAGCGTGCAGGAGCCGGAGCGGTCAGGATGTCTGTACCAAATTCAAGCCTCGCGACTTGTCAGAGATCTTTCCACCTTAGTGATACTCGCAAATGCCGTTTCCATCACACTTCTCACCGACCCTCGGCTGCAACACTGGACGCCTCCTTGTGCTGTCTTGATTTTGGCGTTAGGGTTGCTTGGGCGGTGTAGTTTGGATTGTTGGAGCTGGCTTTCAACTTTTATTTGGTGCAATCAAAAATGTAGGACTTACGACGCGGCGACTTGGAAGTAGAGTCCTGCTTCAGACTGTGGACTTGGTGGGTTGGCTGTGAGTGACCTAGACCTACACCCAAGCGCATCGTGCAGCATGCTCCTTTGCCAGTTCCAGATGCTGGTTGGATAGCAGGGCATCTATAGACACCCCATGCACAGACATAAACATCCCCAGGATTGGATCTTGAAACATCCGCAAGAAGGCTGGCGCTTTCTCTGTTTGCCTTTGTTGGCATGTCTGCATGACTTGGAAGGGATCCCTGATACTTTCCAGTATGCTGACCTTGCTTTCGTCGCAGCTTGGCGGCCAACAGTGGTTGCATGTCGTGCTCTGGCCATGTGTGATCACGGACTGTTACATTTATTTAATTTATTTATGAGCAATGAAAGCGTAAAGTTGATGCTTCAGGCTTTCTTCGTTCTGGAGATTGGATTGCGCTTGTGCGTGCACCGCTTCTATTTCTTCATCAATGACAATGCCATGTGGAGTCTTGTTGCAGCATCGGACAGTTGGGATGCAGAGCACGAAAGGGCACGGGCACAGCACAAGTAACAGCTCGTAGCGGCACATGCCCAAGGAACATTATGGACTTTGCTTTGGTCGTGTTCAGCCTCCTGGAAATATCGCTGAGTTGGTCTGCGGGCAAGAACGGCAATGGTACAATTATGTACTTGTGACTTGGCTTGCTGAGGCACCGAAACTGCAGCTCTTGAAGTGCGACGTGCGTACTTAACCAACCACTGAGGCGGGTTTTCCGATTGTTCAAGTTTGCACCGATTCTTCGAAGCCTTCGGGTCATCACGGCTTTTCGAGCCTCTTGGACATGTTTCGCCTTGTGCCCCTCAGCGGACCCTGTCTGGATCCGTGGCGGCTTGCAGCTCGTGCGCTTGTCCCATTCCGGAGTCAGCAGCGAGGAATTGGCAATGATGATGGAGAGCTTTCGCTCGTGCATCGCGGCAATGTTTTGGAGCCTGGTGCTCCTTCTCTTCCTCGTTTACATGAGCTACTTGGGTCGAAAGGGCATCCGCAGGAATGAGATAGAACCCACGTAGCCAGCAAAT